CGGAGGAGCCGGCGCCGAGAGCGGAGGAGCAGGGGGGAGGGCGGCCCCGGGGCAGCCCCGCGTCCGCCGCCTCCAGCCGTGGGACCCCCGGGACACCCAGACACGTAAAAGGAGCCTTTAAAGGAAGTTTCTGCAGCGGTGGGGTGGAAAAGCCCCTGCTCCCATCTGCCCAGTGCCAAGGGCATCAGCATTGCTCAAACGGATGCACTTTTGCTCTGCAAGTTGCTCCAGGCAGCCTGAGCTGATACCCTGCAAACAGTCACTGAGCTGCCTGCAGTGCCGGGAAACGCTCCCAGGTGGATTTGAGTGCCATAATTTGGTACAGTTTGTTTCCTGATCACAGCTTGCTTTGGTTACTTGCATTCCTGAAAAAAAAATCCTCCTAAAAAGATCTTAGAAACCTCTTTAAGATAACCAAGGTGATGCTTATATGGAGAGTTTGTATCGTTTTAATGGCATATATACATCAAAAATAATGTTTTGACACAATGTGTAACTGCTTTCCAGCTGGGTAATGGGAGTTAGCTGACACAGCTCGAGCGAAATGTGTGGAGTTACCACTCGGGTGCTTTTAAAACAAAGCAGTGTTTAGAAATCATGTTTACTTTGTGCTTAATTATGTGAGTTATTTGCATAGCCTAAAATGGCTAAAGTGTTTTTTTTTTTTTTTTAAACAGCCTAAGGGCTAAACCTTGGAAATCATCAGCTTGCGTGGTTCTAAAGGGGGTTAAGTATCCGGGCTGTCTACATCCCAGTGTTGCTACCACTCATAAGACAACAGTTTTGTTTTGAAAAGCTAGTTGACTTTAACGCATCTTTCAAAACGTGCAAGCCCTCCGAGTTCTTCCCAGGGGATGTTCCGCGCCGCCATGGCGATGGAGGGCCCAACGGATACAAACCCAGAGCCCTGCCCTGGAGCGATGCTTGTTGTGCACCCCAGTTTCCACGCAGCAGAACTGTAGGGGGTTTTAGTTGCTTGTATTGATTGTGTAATGATAAATAAACTCCTACTTTAAATGTTGCTCCTCGTTTGGAAGTTTGTCGGGAGTGGTTGAACCTGGTGGCCCTGTGGAGGTGCTGGAGTTTTTTCCCTGAGTCTGTATTGAAGCTGAGCAGGTTTTCAGACATACAGACTGTATGCATATATATATGTATGTATATATACCTCTAGATAAAACCCACATGTGCTCTGGGTCTACGAATCCCTTTACTCTGGCCTTGGGCACTCAGCTTTGGATGACTCAGACCCCAGGTCTTTGCAGTTGCTGGGTAGGAACCCCGGAGTGCGTGCACCTTATAGAGCCTTGCAGGACTGCGGACATGTGGCCCAACCAAGAAAGGACCCCAGCGTCTCCTCTTCCCCCAGCTCCCTCCTGCACAGACACACAAGCAAACAGCTCTCAACTGCTCCAGACCTCTGGCCTCTGCAGTAGCTCAACCTCAACCCTCCTCCACAACCAGCCCTCGGGCCCTCCTGGCTCCAGGGTTTGGTGCAGACTGGTGGCCTCTGCACCACCCCAGGCTGCCCAGCCTCTTACCCTCCTCGCTTGCTTCGGCTTTATGCTCATGGGCAATCGTGCACACTGGCACCTATTCCCCATGTACACACAGCTCCAGTTTGCTGTTTCTGGCGCTGCAGGTGTGACCTGTCACCTCTCCTGCTCTTGCTGGCACGTGGACATCTCTAGAGCACATGTGTAGAGAGCCTCCTCACCTTGGGAAACAGGAGTGGGATTAAATAAGGGAACGGGACAGGTTGCCCTGATGAGTCACAGCGCATGGCCAGGCTGATCTGCAACCCACTTATTTCTGCTCCCTTTTAGCCCTTATCCCTCTGTTTTCCCACACTTGTTCCTCTACAGTCCAGCTTGTTCTCTGCCTTGCCCCAGCTTTGGTCCTTCCTCTAAATGTCCTTTAAAGTCTCCCCTAATCCCAAATGCTCCTTAGACAAGGAGAACAGGAATAAGCGAGTTCTACAAACTTTGATATTTCTTGTCCATTTCTTTCTTTTTGACTGGACAGTGTTCACAATAATTATGTATAGCAAGGTATATGAGATTTTTTTTCAACATTTCCTTAAGTATCACGAGAAGGAGAAGTTATCAACCACCAGTTGGCATTTTAGGTTCCCTTTTGGTTTCCTGTGGGTAAACGTGGCCCTTCTGAAGGAAATCTTTCTGTCCTCTGGGTGCTCTTGTAAAGAGGACAACAGCAGAGAAATCCTCCTAAGATTTCAGTTCTAGGATACATGAGGTCAAGCTTGACTGTCACTATGAACAGGTTATTTTGAAATAGAAGATGCTAAACTCTAAATTTATAACTTTAAAAATGATTTTGTTAAAGGCAAAAGTACGTTTTTTTTTCCAAATATTAAGCTTACATCAGCTACAAGAAAAGCTGAGGATGAAACATTAGCTTTGATTTTTTTATTTTATTTTATTTTTCTGAAATGTGTTGTAGGTGCAGAAGTGGATCAGGATTTAGCAGCCATTAGTTGCCCCTCTATCAGTCAGGAGAGTTTTAGAACCAAGGAGCCTCATCAGGCAGAATTTCCTTCTTAGCTGACTGTATATGATTCAGATAAATATATCTGAATTTCCTTCTTAGGAACCTCCATCCAGGCAGTATTTCAATGAACATAGTTCAATGCCAATGGGAGAAATGCTTCTATCCACTTCAGACATGACATCCTCTTCAGAGATGCTTCCATCCTCTTCATTTGGCATGGAAATGCCAAATGAAAATGTTAATGAAAGTCACTTTACCAGGTATATCGTTATGTTTCCTATGTCTGGTCAATTAATACCTTTAAAAACTAAGTGTAATAGCATATACAATGAACGGTGCTATGCTAAATCTGCAGCTAAAAATCTATAAAGGAACGGTGATTACGTTAACTGTAATGTCAGCACCCTGTGCAGCGTGTGCAGGACACAGGGCCTCGCTGCGGTGACACCGCAGACCTTCACGTGGAGTTAAAGGCAACGTTCGCAGCCCGCGACCCCGGACACGGCTCCTGTTCTGCCCAGCAGCACGCCAAGCCCGGCAACCCGATCAACCAATCAACTCCATGATCACGCGCGAGGCCGTCCAATGAGCTTCTCGGTCACGCGCGAGGCCGTCCAATGAGCTTCTCGGTCCGCGGCATGGCTCCGCGGCACCAGCGCACCAGGTCGGTAGGACCGGCATGGCCGCTAACGTTCTAAAGTTCCCCAGCCGAA